TTGCCGCCATGTACGCTTTTTGCGCGTTACCTAACAGGACGTTTACTGGCCCGCGATTGGTCTACCTCGGCTGTGAGGAAGATCATACAAAGTTGCTGTTTTGCGTCCCAAAATCTGGCGTTATTCATAATGGCGCGCACAAATGATTTTCATACAGCACTGATATGCATGACTGTTATAATTGGTAGGCATTTATGTTTTACAGAAACTGGGAAAATTTAAAATTACATACATATTTCTTATAGGTGGTACTGGCTTCCACAACAATGCCGTGACTGTGAATCCACAAGATTTGGCGCCATCACATTCGGGTAGCGTTTTCGGTTTGATGAATACTGTTGGCGCAGTTCCTGGCTTCTTGGGTGTTTATCTCGCTGGACATATACTGGAGATAACGCAAAGCTGGCCGATTGTGTTTAGCACTGCTGCAGTTATAAATTTAGTTGGTTGGACTGTGTTTCTTATATTCGGCTCAGCCGAGGCGATTGTATGATTTCTGAACATAAGATTTCTTCATACTCCAAAAGCATATTGTACATTTTTTGACGCACTGACTGTTTTATGTTTTTCCAAATATAGGTCTGGTACATATTTCTTTTGACTGGATAGAAGGCTATAATTATGTATGTGATTTCTTGTAACTATAATATTTAAATGTTCGATATCTACAAATAATTAGAGAAACATATTTTTTAAGTAGTATTGTAAATTATATATGCGTGATATGCAATATTAAGCAGATCTAATTACAATAAGAATAGTAAAACCAAACGTAAATTGGTTATTTGCGTACACTTTATTACAAGTTGTGTTATTTTTTATGAATTGCAACATATGGAGCTTTCCTCGGCGCAACGAATTTCTTTTTAAAAACCTGTTTGGATTTATTTAACGTCTATAAGCATTTTAGACATGTATGGGCCATCTAATTCGTAGCCTAGTTTACGGTAGTAGGCACGTGTGCCCACTCCAGAAATAACTGCCAATTTTACGCTGCCATGCTCCTCGCGTGCAATACGAGCTGCCTCTTCCATTAGCAACATTCCGAAACCCTAGAAAATGCGGCGAAAGCAGTATATGTAAATCGATTCTAATTCTGAATTTTTTATTTCACAAACCTGATGCTGAAACTTGGTTGGATCTCTTGCATTGACCGGCACTACCGATCCATAAACATGCAATTCGCGTACAATCGAACATTGTCCAACCTCAGTCAGCTCGCTTTGGAACGTATCTGGCGAGCATTTACGCAAACGCAACAGTCCCACCAGTATATCCTGCTCTGGATCTTCGTAGGAGAGGAACGTCTCCCAACCACCGTTGGCAAAGTAGTCGCGTCGTATGAGTTCGATTTCATAAGGGCGCACTTTATTGTGTATTTCTTGAATGCCAACTTCCCGTGTACGCACATCACGACAATCCGTACCCCAATCTTTCATACGAGCTAAGGCAAGCTCGCGTAGATTGCCGTGTTCCACGCCAGAGCTGTAAGTATATCGCATTAGTAAAGTATATTTTATTTATGTTACCATTATGTGACAAACCTCACTAGCGGCATTGGTATATCGCGCTGCACACGATAGACACGCGTCCATGGTGGCACGAGTGCCAATATTTTTGCCACCAGATCGACCAGCATCGATGGTGGATAAGACTTGTAGCGTCCAGTTTTCCATAGTTCATAGAGGCCAGTTCCGCGTATAACAAGCGTTGGATAGATTTTCAAGCCATCCGAGCGGAAAGCTGGATTTTCAAAGTATTCCTAAAAAAGAAGTTTCTATAATCTCTGCCTCTACAGTAGAAAGTTTTGTGCTTACAATAAACTGTTCCAAATCACGTTCGAAATCCACATTCGGCAAGTCGGGCATCATATGCGCCACAATTTTGTAACCCGAATCCTTGCCCAATTGAAAGCTTTCACACACTGCCTTCACAGTATGGCCGCGATTAGTATCGCGTGCAACATCTTCATACACCGATTGTACGCCGATTTCCAAACGCGTACAACCGTAATTCAACATATCTGTGATATGCCGCTTGAGACAATAATCCGGACGTGTTTCAATGGTGATTCCAATGCATTTGGTATGTGAAATTTCCGAATAACGTATAGCTTCCTTGATGTCACGGCTTGTATGCCCACTTAGTGCATCATGCAGCTTCATGATAAAGTCGTTTCGATACTTCTCATCCAAACTCATAAATGTGCCACCCATCACGATGAATTCCACTTTATCCACCGAATGTCCCAATTGTTTGAGCTGTTCAACGCGGTGTCGGGTTTGCAGATAGGGATTGTAACGCGCACGTATAGCGCGCATAGATGTCGGTTCATAACCTGTATATGATTGCGTGGAGTACTCGAAATCACTGTCCGGCCCACCAGGACAGTACACGCATATGTTTCCGGTCATGTTGATGTGTGGACAANGCTTGCACATGACTGCGACTACGGCGATCTACGTAAAAAAAATTTATTGATTTAAAAATTTAATTTTTAAATTGCACTCTTGCACTCACGCCACTAGCAGTGCGTATGGGCTTAGCACGCAGTTTAGGCAGCAATATCTTTTTAGCATCTTGGGGAACAGCCGCAATGATGTCTACCAAACGTGGTGAACTCTCCAATCCATACTTTGACGATATCCGTGCTTTAAGACGATTTAGATTAACATCTTTCTTGTCCTCGTGTGCTTTCAGAAGCTCCTGTATAATTTCACCAATGACAATCAAACTCCGTTCCTCGCGGCTTAAGCCAACTCCTGAGAAGAGCATTTAATTAAAGGGATTATAATGACAAGTTATTTGTAAGACTTACCCAACTTCTTTTTTGGCTTCATATCTAAATTTTAATCTTAAATTGACGTGTTTTTAACAATAAACAGGTAA